AAGTTAATGCTAGTTTCTGTGTGATTTCATCTTCAAGTTCTCTGTTGAATTCATCTTCAATTTTGCAAAAGGTGAGTTTTACACCAGGCTTTAATTTGATAACTGCTATTAAAAATATTGGTTTTACATGCTGTTAAAAATTTATCAACAGATCTGTTGTACGTATGTTGTATAAATTCTTATGTTATATGCATGGTTCGATAAGGGTTTTTATCGAACATAGTGTTGTCTGATAAAAGTCCCTTAGCGGTCATATCTTGACCGATGAGAAAAGTTGTACTTTTTTATGTGTTGTCCGATGAGAACCTTTACCGGACAAAGCTTTGTCCGATGAAGACCTTTATCGGACAAGGGTTTTTCGGATTAGGCACCTTATCGCCCAAGTATTAATCAAATTAAGAGTTTGGGATTTCAAGTATGTATCGGTAAGAATGTTTTTATTATCCAAGTGTTGTTCGGTGAGTGTTATTCGGATAGAGTGTTGGCCGATAAGGGTAGTTTATCGCCCAAGGTCTGTCCGATGAAGGGCAGTCATCGGCTGAGTGTTGTTCAGTAAGGTGATATCCTGACAAGTGTTGTCTGATGAAGACAAATATTACCTATTTATGTATCTTTCAAATGTTGATTTTGAATTGAGGAAAGATATTGTTTCTTTCAAAACTATTGAGAAAAGTAAACTGTTTTTGAGAAAGATGTTGAAATGATACCTTGAAGATTCTAGAGATAAAGTTTTTGATATGAAACTATTTTTGAGGCCATTATTGGCTAAAACTACAGATTTATCCACAGATTTAATGAGGAAATAAGAGTGATATATCAAAGAGAGGTGTACCATGTGATAAGGGTGGGATATCAAGGAGAGGTGTACTATGGGATAAGGGTGACATATCAAGGAGATGTGTACATTAGATAAGGGTGGCAATTGTGAGATCTGTTACTATTATAGTTCTTGCTGTCACATCCATAAGATACGATAACTTTGAGTTAACATTTCTTTGTGACATGAAGACTTGGAAATATTGCTCTTATTGAAATGATAACAACAATGTTATTAAGAAGGAGAAAATGGCTTATAGCCGGAGACATTAATTGCCCGTGTTTCAAATGTTTTGGGGTATCATATATCGTATTTTGACTGTTCAAAAGAGTACTTATTTGAAATAAAATCCGGAGGATCTTTAGTTATTATTCAGTTCAAATTTCATTTAAGTTTAAAATAACTCTTATCTTAAATAACTGTAATTAATAACCAATAGCTCTGGTGGTTGGTATTTCTTTATATGCTTTTGAAAGTTAAAATTGTAAGCTCTGATCTGTATGAGATTTAAGAGTTTTGAGAGTTGTGTATTGAATGTCAATGAGGGAGTAGTTATATTTCCTTTGTGGTAAGAACGTTTTTATAATTTGCAGTTTGTTGTATCACTGAAATTATATTTATCAAAGTGGTTGGGTATTCAAATATGATTTTTATAACAAGTTTTGTTGATCTTCACCATGTAATTGCAAAGAAAAGAGATTTCTCACTAGACCTCATGGTCTAACCCTCATTTTGTGTTTAAAAATATGCATTGCAGGTCTGGCTATGTCTAGGGATAAGGTGAAGGAGAAAATGTGATTATTTTTCTATTGTGTTTAACTGCTCTAAGAAGATCAACATGTTATCTGATGAATTTTTGGAATGCTTGTTGTTTGTACAAGTGATGTACAATAATATTATTTTAATATTTTTGAGTTGTAAATTTTGTATTATGGGTTTTTGTACTATTGGGATCGGAGTTGTGCATTTGTATTTCTTAATTTATGAAATACATGTTTATATGCAAATGTGAAAAGTGGGTTGTTACACACACACACATATCTATACTATATTATAAAGCATTTGACTAAAACTCTTAAAAACTCTTAAACTCTTAAAACTCTTAAACTCTTAATCTATACTATATTATAAAGCATTTGACTAAAACTCTTAAAAACTCTTAAACTCTTAAAACTCTTAAAC